TCCCCTCCTCCCTTTTTCCCCTGAATGAGAAGATTTAAAATTACCACTTCAGTTTATTTACTATTTGTAAGACTATCCAGGAATTTTATTTCTTCTTGCATCAGTTTTAGTAAATTATATTTTTCTAAGAATTTTTCTATTTTTAGTCTGAATTTTCAAATTTATTGGCATAAAGTGGTTGATGTATTTTTTGCTATCTTTTTATTGTCTACTTTATTGTAGTTACGTTAACTTTTTATTCATAATATTATTTATTTCTGAACTTCCGTTGTTATTATTGGTTTTACCAGAGGCTTATCCATTTTGTTAGCTTTTTTAAAGAACCAACTTTTCCTTTATTTAAGCCTCTCTGTTGTTTTTTGTTTTCTCTTTCATTGATAGCTGTTTTTATCTTTATTACTTTCTTTGAGTTTATTGTTCCTTTTACTGTTTGATTCTTTTTCTTATGTTTTAAGTCTTAGCTCATCCATTTTGAGTCTTTCTTCTGTTCTGATGTAAGTATAAATTCCCTTCAACGCTGTGTCGCAGAAGTTTTGATATGCGGTGTCTTTATTATTATTCTGCTCTAAGTATTTTCAAATTTCCATTATTATTTCTTTTTTGACCATGAGTTTTAGAATGATGCGGGTTTTTTTTTTTAATATTCTTAACCATTTTCTCGTTCAATAGTGTGTTTCCTCCATTGTCTCTGTTTTCTCCAGCCTTCCTGATGTTATTCTTCTGTTTGTTTTGTCTTGCTTCCCTCCCGTGAGCTGCCGTTTGTTGTGCTTTTTGTATTTTTTGACTGTGAGCTCATGTTTAATGGAGTGTTTTCCCCCTAAGGGTATTTGGTGTGTCCAGGGTTGTGGAAAACAGTTTTGTATTTGATTCTGCTGAGGCCCTTTGGATCTTACTGAGCCAGGCAATTTAAATAAATTCTTCGCTTGAAATTCCTGCTTCACAGGTAAGTTGGATACATTCAGACTCTACATCCCCGAATGGCGTAAGTTTATAGTTTAATTTCTCATGGATGTCTTTTTCCACCATCTTGGCATGGTTCCTCAATGTTCCCCTGGGCTGATGGGAAGAGTGTTGCAGTTTTTACAGGGCTGGGACACCTCCGTGAGGTTCTGGTTTTGTGCAGGGCATTTAGCTGCATCTCCCACCTTGTCTGGGCTGAAGTTATGTCTTCTCAACTTGCAGGAGTGGAGAAGCCCACTGTCAACCACTGGAGTCCGTGTCTGGTCTGATACCCCTTTCACTCATGCTCCTTGCTCTGTTTTGGACACCGTTTTTTTCCCCCTGGAATGTGAAGATTGCTTTTCTTTCTTTTGAACTGGACTATAATTTTGAGCATTTTTTCCTCTTTGTGTGTATGTTTTTATAGGTGGAGGGGGGCCCTTTGGCATCAGCCCAGCCTACCATTTTGCTGCTCCTTAAATATAAGAAATAGAGTCCAAGGACAGAACCCTGGGGTCCAATGACATACAAGGAACAGAAATAGGAAGTGAAATCCCATGAGGAGATGGAAGAAGCAGTAGGAAAAAACAAGGAGAGCTGGTCCTTAGAAAATGAGAGAACGGAGTTTTTAGAAAGTTCCTCTTAATGGCATGTGAGCCCAGCTCTTCCCACAAATGGCACAGTGTTCATCCTGCGGACTCAAGAGGCCTCTTTGGAAAGAAAACTCAGAGAAACACAAAAGCGGGAAGATTGCCTGAATTTATAAAGGGAACCCAAGGTACTGGTTCTCCCTCTGCGCCCAAGGAGAACTGCTTTGGAGTAATTTGGAAACTTGTGGTTGCTCTTGTGAACCCAGGAGAGATTCCTCCCTATATTTTCACCTGAATGTACCAGCATCCACCCCACAGGACCTTCAGAGGTGACGGGAGCAGGTGGCATTATTTTGCACGTTGTGGGGTTGATCTGCCTGTTGGCACTTTGCTCTCTCTGTCATCTCCATCTGGTTGTTTTGGGGCCACATGTGATATACGTGATCAATGAGAGCAAACCCACATTACTTTCACCCTGTTCTTTCCTTTCCCCTCCATTGCTCCTGGAATATTATTCTTAGCCATTATCTTTTTGGATAATGCCTTTTCCGCATCCAAATCACACAAAGTCATAGACTTTAAGGTCCCCTTTTGACTCTGATTGGAAAACACTGGGGCATCCATTTGGAGGAATCTCAGTTCTGGTTCTGTGGATTATTGTCGTTGTGGAGGGGTTCTTGCAGCTTGGAATATATCTGCGCAGGGTGCAGGGCTGTGCAGGGTGCAGGAACCTGTGTGCCCATGGACCTGTGAGCTTATAAGACTGTTAGGTTTTCACATCACTTCCTAAGTTTTCAGACAACGACCATCTTACATCATCTTGCCACAACTCTGGAAGTGAGTAATGCTGATATCAACATCCCCATTTGACAGATGAGGAAACTGAGGGTTAGAGAGGTGAGAGAGATGCCCCAAAGTCCACAGCAAGTTAGAGAAAGACCTACATCGGTAGTTTAGGCATTCCACCTCTGAGCCTGATGCTTTGCCTTCCGTTCCATCCTGCCTGTGCATCTTTGTGCAGGCTTAAGTGCAGACACCATCTCTACACCCAGGTTTCCGCCAACCTGATCACAAACACCGGGTGAAACCTCTCTCTGCCCCTCCCCCAACCCCGTGGTGGGATGCCCACACACTAGGAGGGGCTAAGTTCTTTCCTCTTTTTTCTCCCCGGTCCCTGTCTTTGAGACTTCTGCCACTGCTGCTGGCAGACCTCAGACAAAGGCAAATGAATCACTGACCCAGCTCCCAGAATTTACAACAAAATTTCTATAGATTTTCTGTGTAGACACAGTGGCCAACACCATCTTTCTTGGCATTACTTTTTATTGAATATAGACTTACAGTCTTTAAATAATTTGAATATAGTGCTTTCAATATACAGTTCTTTAGTCATACATATATTTCTGTAAAGCACAAAACTATAACTTAAAATTGAAAGGCTATAAATACACATGTCCATATTGCCATAAATCTAGAACTATTTTATAAAAATAGAACTCAAATCTCAACTTTATATATTTTGGCAACTTAGCAGTTATTGTAAGGTGGCCATGTACATTTTTATTATGCATCACTGTCCCTGAAGGTCTGTCTCCAAGTCTCATTTTCTACCCCATTGGGGACACCTGGAACAGTCTCTTTACGAGGGTCTCTGCAGAGATGCCCATGGCCATGGCTCAGCAGTGCCTTTGCGTAAAGGCTCAGTGCACCCACCTGTTCTTGGAGGGGGAAGACCAGCTTCCAACCCTTCCTCAGAGAGAGGAGGTGTTCCCTCCTGCCAAATGTCTGCCATCCACACGTGGTTGACATCTGAATACACAAAGTCAGTTTCCTTTCCCTGTGCTCAGAGAATGGCAGATGTGAGTTTGGTCCTGTCAAATCAGTGTACAAAGTTTGAAACAAACATCACTCAAACAATGCCCGTTGGGGTATTGTCACCCTGACAGCAGGCACCAGTGCCCACCTGCTTGTGCAAGGTCCTTTACACACGTGACCTACCATTGTGACAGCCTCACGAGGCCAGGACACTCTCATCCCCATTGGACAATGGAGAGAATTGAGTGTCTGAGCATTTAAGTCTCTTGGTCAAGGTCAGTGTGGCTGCCTGATCCCAAAGCTCTCTGCCTGCCCAGGAATCCATGGAGAGAGACCAGAAGAGAGCTTGGATCTCTACTGTGGTCATTTGATGAGAACAGACAAGAAGCTTTGGGTCAACTTACAGCAGGTGGACAGCAGTTCCCCAAACATTTCCAGGACTCCTAGGCCGTGCCTTCCCAGGGGGAGAAGGAAGGTAGACGTCTGAGAGAAGGAGCATGGACCTGCAGACCAGTGGCTTTGAAGGGGCAGGGCCGGAATCATCCTGATCATCCAATAGAAACCCCTCAACTTAAAACCAGGGGCTCACGGGATTTACTGCTTACAGATGTTTGTGTTTTCAACGAGCCCAGCAAAGGCCAGAATGTCTACTCTGTCTCAGGTCTGCCTGCTTCATTACAGGTTGAAGTGCAGAGAGCTCGCATGGTGGCCCAAGGAAGGGACACATGCAGGGTCCCTGGACCAGAGTGGACGGCTCAGAATGACATGGAACACAGCAAGACGGCAGCAGGCAGGGGGGCTTTTTCAGAAAACCCCGCAGGGAGCATGGCAGAACTCAACATGATGAGACACACCTCTGCTCCTCTGCTGGACCTAGGCAGGCTGCCCCAGCTATTTGCAGTTTTGATTTTTCTGGTTGCTTTCCCATAAAAATATGCCCCAGTGGAAAGTTTCTCTCATATCCCCTCTGCGATCACAGCCTCTCTGGACGGTCTCCCCCCTGGCTCAGTGGACTGTCGGCCTCTCTATCAGGCCTGAGTCTGCACGCAGCCCATTCCCTCCTCCCAGCCCTGCTCCCTCCAGCTGTGCCCTCAGCCCCCAGGCCAGTGCACAGCCTTGCTCTGGGCCCTTCCACATGGCTTTTAATCAGAATCCCTGGATAACATCGCCCACACAAAGGAGCCCAGCTGAACAAGGGTGTCCTGCTTAGGCCACTGAAATCATTTTCTGAAATTCACATCACAGTGAATTTCTTAAAAGCCTCTCTTAAGAATGAACAAAACAAACAACAGCTGCAGAAAACCCCTGAAGCACCCCTCTCTCCTCTCCTCTAAAAGGCTGATCACCTATCAGGGCATGTTTCTTGTGAAGGCGAGTGGGAACACAACCAGAAAAAATGCAAGTGGCAAGATCCCGAGGGAAGTGGACTGGTCCCCACTACGCCCCCAGGGGAAGCCGGGAGCAGCAGCTACCCCGGGGCAATGGCAGACCTTTTTTTCCCCTTTCAGAATAGGTGGACCAGATATTCTGAACTCAGTGGATGAGTTCAGAACTCCCAGGCTGCCCCTGGGAGGCAAAAAAGGAGAAATGTATTTGTGGGCCCGGATCACTGTATTTTAAATTAACTTGGGCTCTGTGTGTGTGTGTGTGCTGAATGCCATGATCAGGCTGCTTCAACTCTGAAAACTCCTCCCCAAAAGATACTAGGTAATGACCTGGAGTTAGCCTCACCTTTCATGGTTCATTTGGGTACATTGCACATAATAAGGTGACTCATTCTTTCATTGGGCAAAAGCATCACCTGGACATGCCAGTTCCTGCTAGGAAGCAAACACTAACATTAAGGTTCTGTGGCCGTGGAGGGAAATCGGGGCTGACTTCCTGCACCTCACCCTGGCCACCCCTGAGCCAGGCTGGTCTTATTTCCCAGGGCAGAGGTCAGAGGGCAGCTTGATTAATAATGATAATTCCCATGCATAACGAGGGATACTTTCCTCCTAAAACTCCAGCTTTGCATGTTGCCTCAGTGTGGTCTGCGTGTTAGGCCTGGAGTTACAGGGGAGCTACGGAAAACTGGGGTGAGGGTTGGGAGCAGGGCTTCGGTCGGATTGGACAGCTGCAGAATGTTGGGTTTGGGGAGGTGAAACCTAGTGGCAGCAGTCAAGGTTGATGCCCTTGGCTGGGCCTCATGACTTTTTCCTTGGTCGCCAGTGGCTTCTCCGTGGCAGATTGTGGCAGACTGCAGAGGCCTCTCATTTCAACGAGGCTTTCTTCCACAGCTTTTGCAAACTTGGTTGAAGAGGTCTCTTTGCAGCCATGGAAGCTGGAGATGCAGAAAAGGATGCTCTCTGGCTGGGGGTTGTAGCAGGCGCCATACCCATTGGGTACCACAGGTCCGTAGCAGCAAAACATCTCCATGGTGGTGGGCACCTGGAGGAGAGGGCAGGTCAGGAGCTGCTTGCTCTAAAAGCTTCCTAGAGAGCAGGGCATTCCAGCAACCCCAGGGGTCTCAACAGGATATTTGCTTCTCTTTGACTGTTTTCCATCTGGGCGTTGGACTGAATTAACCAAATCAACTGACAGCTCCATCCTGGACGGCCACAGCCAGAGCCATCAAAACAAACCCATCTAACTGCATGGAATCAGAAGAAGAGGGGCCGTCAGCCCCTGCCTGGTGTGAAATCCGCTCTACTCATGGAGTCAGACGCTCCCAGAGTGACCTGGTGCGGGGTCTCGAGCCGAGTCTCTCCTTCACCTGGGGGCTGTCTGAATCACCGAGGCAATCAGAGCAATTTTCTAAATGGCACCCGGGTGGCACCCAACGGTTAGATGGCTTCCCAGAGGGAGTAATTTATGAACTGGAGGAAATCTGGCTCGTCTTCTCTGTTGATTTTCCCCGCATCCTTAATTACTGTCAGTATTGCCTGGCTGCTCTGATTTTCTCCGCGCAGCCTGGCCACGCACAATTACCCAGCGCTGGGCGTTTCAAAGATTGCCATCAACTGAAGTTTTAGTTAGGTACCGGCTATGTTTTGAATTCAAAGGGGCCGGGATTTTGTAATCTGGATCACAAACCAAGATAAGGTATTTCTGAAGGCATTCATTCAAGCCATAAATGTTCATTTCAGTTGGGAAAAAAAACCCAACAGCAAATCAACATACCCCAGTTAATTTTATTAGCTGGTCTTAAAGGGAAAAGAGAACACATTCGTGAGCAGTTTCAGGGCGGGGTTTGTTTTTAAACCCACAGGTTCTGTGTGCTCAGGCCAGAAATGACACTGGCTGTTTTAATGGGGCAGAACAAACCATTAGTCTTGCTAATAGAGTCACCTCATTGTCAGATAAATTTGCCGTGCAACAGATGAAGGCCATAAAGCCATTCCAGAGCACGTTTCGCTCATGGATGGTTTCCTGAAGAATTTATGTGGTTGTGTTCTGCCCTCGTTTACTCACGTCGGCAACTCACTGCCGTAATGACAAGATGAAATTACTGAGTGGGATTTATCCTCAAACACAACTTTATCAGCCCTTTTGATTGCCCACATCCAGCTTTTCGCAGATGAGGTGGAGTTTTAGTAAACTGACGTTTGTGGGGAGGGGAGTGGGATGGGGAGGGGAGGTATTTTGAACTGGCGGGGGGACCATGCTGGCTGGCAGTAGACCTTTACAATAATAGCTGCGACCTGTTTGGAGGACCCTGCCCATGCCAGATGCTGGGCTAGGGTTTCTACCTACATGGTCGCATCTGATTGAGCCAGGACTTCGCTCTAGGTCTGTCGGGCTTCAGAGCCTGTGGTCACCCCAGTGGAACACCACCTCTCAGGCAACGTTGAAAGGGAGTGAGCGTAATGGTTAGTGTACCAGAATGGGCGTTCTCCCATCCTGTCCGCCTCTGTTGAGGTGGCGTTCATGATTACAACCATTTCGAATGGGGAAACCAGCATCCTGAGCATTTAGGTCCTTCTGCTGAAGGCCACGCAGCTCATTGGAAGCAAAGCCAGGACTGGCCTGACTCCAACCAGTGGGCTGTAGTCAGTGAGCTCTTTTTTCAAAGAGCTGGTTTAAAGAGCCCACTGGTTCCACTAAGCAGCCACTTTGGGGTGGCCACACTGGGGCTGTACCTGGCTGGTGGAGAGGACAAACCGGTTGCTCATCAGGTATGTTTCATCTGTGAATATCTCAGGCGGCTCCTTGCACACTTCCCGGGCCAGCTCCCGCAGCCCCAGCAGGTGGTTGTCGATGGCCATCCCTGTTATGGCCTGGGTCATTGGGGACAAAGAACAGAACATGAGACTCCCCCTCCTCCCCTCTCTCTAGTCCTCAATGCTAATAGCAACTCTCAAGGCTCGTGCCTCCCGTGTTAGCTGCAGGACACTGTGTGTGGGTGACCGCCCAGGACCGACCACCATACTACGTGGCCTCTGTTCCTTGGGCCCTTGTGCATTTCTGTGTACACAGGATGAGTCCAGAGCAAGTTGGGTTCCAACATGAGGATGCTTGAATTAAAAGGCAATGATTCTGAGTTCCCCTGCAACATGGTCCCTGCTGATGTTTGCTGTGGCTAAATACTTGATGCTCTAGGTGGAAAGAGCAAGGCCAGCTGGGCATCCGCAGGACCCTCTCAGATAGGGTAGGAGTCTGGGCAGGAACACGGGTGCTGGGCCCCATCCAGGCATGGGGAGGGGTGCCCTGGGCTGTCACTGGGCAGACTCTCACCACAACCAACTTCATCCTCCAGCAGGAGCCTAAGGAATGAGAGACGGAGGGCACTGAGGTCTGTTCCTGAATCTTGGTTACGATTTCATGGACTCGGAATGAATTGAACTAAACTGGATTCATCATCTAAGAATAATTTTGAGACAGGAACAAAACATCTTAGCAGAGGTTCGGCTGACATTTTCAAGGGGAAAGCTTGTTGGATGAAGAAAGGATTTTTCTTTTTATCACAGGTATTTGAGCTCTTATCAAAGGATACAAAAATAGCAGTGGGGACTCCTGGATTTGTACATAGGAGAAGCCCAGGGTTGGAGGTGTGGCTGGAAGCTGGGCAGTGGGGCCAGAGGATATTTTTCTAAATTTTTTCATTTTTCTACATCTTCCCCACTGGAGGCTGTGTGTGTGGCATGCACACTGGTTTTACTTGCATGACGTGTGTATTTGGGGCAATTTGAGGAGGACTGATGGAGACATGGGGGCCACCTCTGGCCTCTCATAATAACCTCCGGGTCAACGCAAGGGTAGTTGTAACTCTTGGGGGCTTCACAGTTATGTAAGATGATCACTTAGCCATTAACGCCCCGCGGAGGAGGAAGCCTCCCATCACAATGAACTTCATTCAGGTTTGCAAGTCACGTTTTGGAATTTGACAGGTGTTCTCTTTCAGTTGAATATAAATGCATAAAGATGACTCAAAGGCCTCCGTCTCTCCAAATGCACCTAATTATAGGCTGAGAAGACATGTTTACAACCACTGCTCACTTTAGCTGGCCCCGTTAGAAGAGTGGGGAAGAACTGTGAGCCCATCTATGAAGCAGAGGGCACTTTTTCAATTTCTCTGGTTACCGCTGTTCAATGGCTGATTGGTGCAGGAGCAGCTACTCCGTGTGGCAACCAATCCACCCCTGTTTTCACCATCTCTGAACTCACTGTAGCAACTGGGGCTAATTTAACAGATTGCTTGGGTCAGAGCCATGAGTAAGTAGAGAGTAAAATGACTCAGCATTCAGTCTTCCGTTCATTCAGAAAATCTTAATTGAGTACCTACTATGTGCCGGAGCAGCTGTTAGAGAACAAAGCAGCCATAGGTGCCGCCTCACGGAGCCTGATACGTGGTGGGGGGCCGATACTCACCAACCAAACAAATAAGCTTGTGATCATAAACTGAGAAAGTGCTGTGAAGGAAAAGCACAAGGTGCTATGAGAGTGTGTGATCGGGGCTCTGGACCACATTTGCTCCTTCCCTGGAATTTCCTTTCTCCACCACCACCGCCAAATATGCGTGGCAGATCTCTGGAGGTTTCCTTGCCACCTTCTCCCAGCCCTTACCCCACATGGCCAATCAGGCACGGGATTTACCTTCAAAGCATCTTCATAGCTCTCCTTTCCCCATGCCCCATCTCTTCTATTTAGTCATTTTCATCAGCTTAAAATAGTTAACACAACAGAACCCTATGGCAATGCTTTGGAGGATAGTTTTCTAAATTTTTCACAAAAATTTATATTATGATCGAAGTTGTATGTTTATATAGAAAACCCCAATAAGCCAAAGGCATATGTCTCTTTGCCAGCACTGGTTCCCACTCCACAGAAGCGATCACTTGGAACCTTTTAGCAATTGACTGTCTTAGTTCTAAGTAACATGCGTAGGCTGCCTCAACTGCATTTTTCCATTTTCTTACTATAGAAGATGAAACTTTGGCTCTTTGGTACCCCTATTCCCCAAATAATCCTTCCACTCCCCTATCTTCCCAGTAGAGTTACATTTGAACTCCTTGTTGCTTGACCAACAAAGTTGACCTGATTTTCACTGTGCAAGTATCCATGGCTGAGTCTCGTAGTGTGTTAGTTCTAGGGTCCCTTTCTGACTCAGGTTTTTGTTTGTTTGTTTGTTTTCCCTAGAATCGACCATTTGTAAACGATTAAATTGTGATTTTTCCCACTTGCTTATCTTTCTATAACTAATCGATTCCTAACACCTCGGCTGGAAGTGTAAAACTTCCCTTAAGGTATTAAAATGTATCTGATAGTTTATCAATTTCATTCCTCCTCTCAGTTCTTGCTCCTCTGTGGACTGACTGCTCCCTGGGTCTGCTGAACAGCCATCAACATGGGTCTCCCTTTACTCTCATCCTCTTTCTCTACCTCTTTCTTGTGCTGAATCTTCTAATTTGGGGAGCCTATGACCTCTTTTTACATATTTTATTCTCTTACATGAGTGCTCTACATCCTCCAATAGTTTTACAAGAAAGAGAGCTTAATAAGTAAACATTTTAAGACCTCTTCTGTATACAATGTCATTATTCGATCATCAAACTTGATAGTTTAGCTGGGTATGGAATATGCCTTAAAAATAATTTCCCCCCAGAATTTGAAGCCATTGTTTTAGTATCTTCCGCCTTCCAGTGATGTTGTTGTGAAGTCCAATTACATTTTTATTCCTGATCTTTGTACTTTATTCTTTTTTTCTGAAAGATGTTAGGATCTTCTCTTTGACCTTAGTGTTGTGAAATTTCCTTGGTGTGAGTAGTTTTTATCTGTTAAATAAAATGCCTGGTGGGCTCTCTCAATATGGAAACTCATATCCTTCTGTTCTGGGAAATTTTTTTGAATTATTTTGTGTTGATCTACCCCCCATCAGACACACACACAAACACCTATTTTCTCTTTCCGGGTACCTATTACTTGAGATATCAGTCCTCCTGTACTGAACCTTTTTTCTCTCTTATATTTCATCTCTTCATTGGTATTCAGGGGGAGATTATCTCGGCTTTACCTCCCAATCCTTCCATTGCATTTTTTTCTGCAATATTTTCCCCCACACTTATTTTTATTTCCTGACAAAAAAATTTTGGAGTTTTTCTTATTCTTACTTACAGATAAAATAACTTCCCTTATCTTTCAGAGAATCTCTAGTGTAATTTAAAAAAAATTTCTCCCCTGTCCTGCATTGTTTTTCTTTCCTTTTAGTTTCTTTTAAATTATTTTAAAAAATTAAACAATAATTTAAAAATTAAAAGTTCTTATTTCTACTGGTTTTAGTCTTTATGTTAGTAGCTCTCTTCAGTGTCTGATGACTTGTGGCTATTTGTTCACATTTAAGAATAAAGCACCGGAAAGATGATGGGAGGATATGTGTGTGACAATGTGCTTGTCTGGGGCGGACTTCACTGGGAGGGAAGCTGGCTGGGCTCTTTACTGGGGACCCCAACTGTCAGTATTTGGGACTTTATTCTCTTGGCCTAGTCAGTCTCACCAAAGATAAATCCTCTAATCTCCTGTTTGGAGGGAAGTGGTAATAAAGGGGGTTCTTGGTACACCTAGAGCTGAATGGTTGGAGGGTTTACTACTAAGTAAGCAGAGTTTGATTAATCCCCCCTCTTTTTTTAGTTTGGTATCCCCTCTCTCAGCTCTGTGTGGTGTCCCCAAGTCTACAGTCCTTCTTCAACCTCTCCAGAGGGGAAGCTTCTAAACCACCACTGGGGATGGGGAGGGTAGTAGCCTGGCTGCCTGGGGTAGTGGAGAGGCACTGAGGGCCTACTGCTTCTCATGTAGACCATCGACTGATCCTCTTCCTTTCAGTCCCACATGCACCCCTACTTTTGGTGCAGCCTCCAACGCCTTAGCCACTCTGAGTTTCCGTGGTGCAGTTCATTGGGCTCCCGGGCCTCCCTCACTGTTGGCTTGGGTTTCAGCGTTCTTTGCTCTGCTAAGTCTGTTGCCATCTGTTCTGCTTTCCAGTTCAAAACCTTTGCTGTCACCTCCTTTCTCATTCTCTTTGCTGTATGTATTTCTGGCTTAAAACATCCCTTTGCTGATATTTCTGATGGTTTCCAAGGGAGCAATAGTAAACCCTTGTGTTCAGTTCACCATGTTTGATCAAAGTTTGTGTCTTCCTCTTCAACTTCCTGTCCCTACTCTACTTCATTCCTTTTACCAGCTCTCCCTAATATTATATAATATTAAGTTCCTGCCCTTTGGCAGACCACCCGCTCCAACCAGTCATTCTCCTACCTGGTCACCAGGGTAAGCAATGTGACAGGGAAATCCAATGCCATGAGCTTTCTGCTTTTCTGTCCTTTGCAAGCTGCACATAGAACTACTTGCTTGCTTTCCCTCCATTATATCTTATTCTCTTAAGACTCTTAGCCTTTGCATATGCTGTTCCCTCTGGGGCCATCCTTCCCTTCTGTGTCCACCTGATAAGCACCTCTTCATCTTCTAGGTCTCATATAAAGCACCACTTCCTCAGAGAAGCCTTCCTGGCTTTCCCAAGCAGAGGAACGAGCCTGCTCCCCCATGCTGTGTACTACTCCTTGAAGGCTCTTTGCACATGGGATTGGATTTGCCATTTAAGGACCTCTTCGCCCAGCTACACAGTAAACTCCCCAAAGATATCTTACTTTTTCATTTCTTAGCTCCCAGTGCCTTGCCTGGCATTGAGCAGGGAAACAAAAAATACCCACTGAATACGCGAGAGCAAGCCTGATTTCCCCCAAACCAATCAAACACTTAACTATTCAGATGAATCAGGAACCTAGCAACTGAATCAGAGAAAAGCCTATACAGGCAGGTTCTGAAACCCCAGTGTGTGTTATGTTTGCTTTCAAGTATATAGAATGAAATCAGCTCCTCTTTAGATTATACAATCCTTCAAAGACTGTATCGGAATGATTTGCAATTAATATATTGATCACCAGCCCAAGTAGTAGCTTATTCTCTGTTGTTTGTATGCAAGTGATGACTTTGCAGTGCTAGAAAATATATTATTCCCCTAAACTAGAGAAACATTTCCTTTACAATTTCGATATCACCATTAACTTTCAGCAAAGATTTTTTTTTTTATTCACAGGTGGTATAAATAAATATATGGAGAATAAGAAGGCAAAACCAGCCCTGGATGGGAATAAATACTGCCTCACCTGCGATTGTGGGAGGTATGCAAACCACCATGCATCTGAGTTCTCTTGTACAAACTGCAAAGTGCTATACGTGTTGGGCGCTATTATTATCATTATTGTTGTTTCAAAGAACATTCATTGTATTTTTGTAAAATCCACGTAAAAAGCAGGAATAGTATGTACCTCAGGTTCTAAAGATAAGAAAGAGGAGGCTCTGAGAGGCGAGGTGGCCTCACCAGATCGCCGCACATGTGGTGGCCCAGCTGTCACCCAGGGCCTATGTTCTGGGCACAGCCCGCAGTCCTAAGCTCCAGCGACATCACATCACTCACCATGACTGTATACTCGGTCTGGGCTCGGATGGCATCCTTCAGGAGTGCCAGCTTCTCTGAATCCTGTAAATGGACCAGAGAGGCTGCTCAGTGACAGACAAGCCGTAGAAGCAGGTAGTCCTGGGCCGAGTGGACGGGCAGCCCACAGCGGCCTCGCTGGCCTCCCTGAGGCCCCTCAGACCCACAGGACTTACCGGCACATTGGCTGTGGGCTCAGCAATGGCTTTCACAAAGCGCAGCGCCTCCGGGGTCGCCGATCGAATGTTGTCCACCCGTCCCTCGTGGAACCGACGGATGGATGCGCTCTCGTAGGTGGACACCAGTCTCCGGTGGAGCCTGCACAAGATGAAGGAGGAGTGGCAGGCGGGGCTGCCTTCTCAGGGAGTCATAAATGCTGCAAGAAAAATAGCCTCGGCTGGCTTTATTTCTACAGTCCTGACTTCACTCGGCACAGTATTTCATTTTAATGCTAATAGAATTCTGGAGGAGATTCCCCAAAGATGAATGTCGGGGAGCCTCGGATAACGAAGAGCTGTGCACACTTCCATGTGTGGGTGGGACTGCGTGGATATAAAATAAGGAAGTAGTGACTGGCAGCTTTTTTTTTTTAAAGTCCCATCAGGTGGGAAACCCAGAATTGTCTGTGAGACCCCATGAATATTTGATTAATAGCACAGAATGGAATAATTCATCATTCACACTCTTGAGGGAATCCTGTTTTATTTAAAAACAATTCAAGCATGACCTGTGAATGGAAGCATGGATGGAGGGAGGGGGCCTTAGGGCTCGTGGGTGTCAGCTGTTGCCCAGGCTCACCGCCCAGGAGCAGCGGGGGTTTCAAACAGACCCACGGGTACCACGGCTGAGCCTCTCCTCCCTCACGTCTGTGATGGGAGGAGCAGCGGCCGCTGCCTCCACCCGCCAGGGCACGGGAACTGAGCAGGCACCCCTAGGCTGGCACACCAGGCTGGCACGCACCCTTCTCACCAGTCAGGAAAATCGCTGGTGTTGGGCAGGGAAGGGGAAAGTCACAGAACTCAGAGAGGGGCAGTGACAGCCCAAGGTCACACAGCAAGTCGTGGCCCTGCATCTTGGTCTCCTTGGGGCATCTCTTGCGTACTGGGTGAGCTCCAGGAGGGGGAAGACCGAGTCTGATTTAAGCACAGTTGCTCGCCAAGAGGGTGAATAAACTTCCAGTTCACTTAAGACTCATTTCCCCAAGACTCTGGCAGGGAAGCTCATTTCATGTATCTCTATAGCCCGTGGGGGCAAACACCCTGCTGAGCACTGGCCGGTCACTTATCAACACCAATTTAGGCAGCTTCCAGGTTTCTGCTGAACCTAGGAGTTGATTCAAATTTTTTTCTGTTACAGTGGAAACTCTGAAGAATGTATTCCACTAGAAGCCAGTCATATTTTGCCTATTCAATGAGCCCTCTGGCCACATCC